TCAATAAGAATGGTGGAGCTACTCATTACTGAGTCCTTCTTTTTTTGACACTTTGATTTCTGTTTTGGGGGGTTTTCGGGATTTTTTTTTGAGCTATGGTCTTAAACTTTTGATCAGCTGAAAAAAATCATGTTTGAGTGTAAATGCAGTTTTCAGAAAATTCCCTGCTCAAAAGTTCTTGTCTCTTGCACTGATTTCTTCTTTTAACATTATGAAGCTCTACTTACAACCTTCTTAAGATCCAATAGTGCAAAATGCAAATTCTTGCACTTTTTTGACTGGTGTTAAGATTTTGATCACAGACTTTTGCTTCCTGAAGGTATTTGAGCAGCGCTCTTAATTTCCACATCTTTCTGCATTTTGTCATAAATTTAAAAAATAAAAAAGAAATCAGCAAACATGTAAATACTTCATACATCACTGCATTATCACATTACTTCAGGATTTCAGAACCAGTCCATTATGAAGCTTGTATAGTAAATAATACATTTTGCAATTAACCAATCTGTTAAACTACACATTTTAAAGATGAAAATTTTATAACAATGAGCCATAATAAGCCTCCTTGACGTGTATAAAAAGGTTTCCCCAAAGCTGAATGACTGCTGCTCTGATTACTGTCAAAGGTGGTCGCTCACAAAACTGTTTTGTTTTTAGATTTAAAAAAATGCATGTCTTCTTTTTGGTTTATAGCTAAAACCGATCTTTTTCACAGTAATGATGAAATTCTCTTTTTTCTAACACGGAGGCGTATTTTATACAGAGTTCTGCTTTAGTTTTCAGGACTAAATGAGAACTTTAATTTCTGATGGGTTGTGATTTCTGCTGCCCTACAGTAAATGTGGATGTGACTGATCATCAAGGACATACACAGAGGACTCCATTTATTGGACTGAATTTTCTCTGAGGAGAATACATGTTTTAACCAAAAGGATACAAAGTAAACAGGCCATTTTAGTCAGCTAATATTTTGAGGAATTCCTAAATATTTTACGAGATTTTCTCATTTTTAATACCCTGATTGGTCAGCAGGTGGCGCAGTAGCCTACGCACAAAGTGCTTCCTGCAGTTAACTCCAGATCCATTTCTTAAATCAACAATAAATTTAATTAATTTATGCTTACAACTATTAGTTCCCCTGAGAATGTGTAATCACAATAATTTAATAATTAAGTAGGCTAATATAGTGACTGTTAAACAAGACATCCTGGATGGAGTCAGAATTAGCAGATTAAAGTGCTTTTCAACTGGAACCAAACTCTTGCAAAACACCCGTAGAAGCTAAAATGAATAACAAAAAAACATATTTTGTGAGTATTTTTACTTTTAAGTGTGGGTTTAGGAAGTAGCCCCTTAGATTTCTTGTACTTTTTACCATTACTGATACAAATTTCTAACTTTGTTGGTATTAAGAATGTAAGTCGCGTTATAACTGTAATAAAAGTGTCACAAACGCCACGCCCGAAAACAGACTATGTTCATAGCTTGATGTAATTCAGCTGACAGATTTCTATAAAACACTGCTCAGTGTCGTGCCCGCGCAGGCGTGGCTCTCAAGCTCGTGCCCGCCACCCCTCCCCCAGCTACAAACAGCGGCTGCGCGCTCCCGTGAACTAATTCATTGTATCAGATTGGGACAGAAGGAAGCAGAAGAAAAAGACCGGAGAGCTGCTGAGCTTCGAGATATCCTGAGCTGCTAAAACCCCACTGCCTGGCACATAAACTGAAGGTAAACTTCTTTATTGACTACCCAGCGACAGCGAGGGGGTTCTGGTTCCGCGTAGCCTACTTTAAAACTTTAGAGCATCATTTTTTAAGGTTGTCCTTGGCTTTCAGAGGCCGTGCTAGCGAGGTTAGCTTGCAGCTAAGGAGGCTTTTCCTTTTCGAACCCACTTGAATTTCTCCGCGCCTCTTCCGCGATTGCCTCGTTAGTTGTGTTGAAAACTGCTGTGTTTCAGCACCGAAGCTGCTGGGACTAAAACGTATATACAAAACGCAACGAAAGGCTTTAGTTAAACTGTGAAAACTAAAGTCAGGTTTAAAAACTGACGCTTCAAGGACTGGCCTAGAGATCTGCGAGCCGCAACCAAACAATGAAGTCCTTTTCCTTACTTGCCTCGTCTGATCAACCTTACCGGGCGGCTTCCCGGTGAGTGTCCGTCTTTCCCCTGATTAGGTAAATAAAGTTACATCTTCCCTGTGTGTTATTTCACATTGCAGGATACAGCTGAGCAGTAGGCAAACTTTATTTAAATTCTACATCTGCGTTTTATTGTCGATTTTTGCGAGGGTTGGGTAGGACCACACAACACATCGTTTCAGCTTTGATACTTAGTTTTTCTACATTGTGTAGTGAACATTTTAAACCTAGTCGATCTGACATGGTGTGTAGGTTGAGTCAGGGCCACCCACCCTTTCTTTCACTGCGGACACACTGGCCATCTGTTGCCTATGTGATGACGCCATCTTTCTGGTGACCCACCCAGTGGCTAGTTGGTTTAAAAAAATGTTTGCTTAACACTGGTAGTATTTACTGTGGTATAAAGCAACTTTTTCCATACCTTGCATGCAGCAGTCAGCTCACCCTATGTTTCAGATGTCCCTTTTTTTTAAATCAGCCACATTATTTAATCACCACCTGGGGCTGGGAACCACAGTCAAAATTACAGTCATCAATTTTTTATTTTTATTTTGAATCCTCGTTTATATTTAAGGTCATGGTTTTGTATTCAAATTGAGAATTTCAAAATTAGAAATGTCATATGCTCTTGTTCAGAGATGAATGATAGCTGCAGTGTTTCTCAAGCTGCCACTTACCGATGCTATAAGGAATGTATTCATTTATTTAAAATGCCAAAATGAATGCGTGTAGCATTTTTACTGTCCAAATAAACACGTTCAGATCTTTTAAAGAGGCATAATTTAGTAAAAACAGCTTTTCAAAAAGGAAGTTACTCAATTTGTTTTGTATTTTAATTTGTCTTTTGTTGTGTTGGAGTATAAAAGCTTCCTAACATAGCAGTTACCACCATTACAATGTTCATTTTGATGTGCGTAACACAGCTTGGTGTGAGCATGCTTTTTACTGCAGGTTTTTCACGCTGCCACCCTTGAAGCTGTTGAGTAAATTCATTTCTCCTCAGCCATGCAGAGGTGAGCCAGCCTGTATCATATTTAAACAAATGGCAAAATTTTACACGGAAAAAATACCCATTAATCAGGGCTTTTCATCAGTATTAGATATGTACGCTGCCAATTTTGGGTCTTTCTTTTGTCTAAGAATGTGTGCAAAAGGAAGAATCAATTAAGGGAACATTTGATTTTTTTTAAAGCAGTTGATTCTGTCTGTTTTTTTATTTTTTTATTCGTGTGCATTAACTTTTGATTACAGGACATCAGTGATGCATTTAACAAAGCAGTTATTTTCTATATATTTTAAAAAGTTTTATAAAATTGTTGCATTTGAAAGTCCATTTAAAGCTATTCTTGAGATAAGTGACAAATGGTAATTGAACCTTTGTGGGTCACCTTAATTATTTATCCTAGTATGCCTAATTTGTAAACTGACAGCTTCTCTATACGACTTGCGGTTTTGTGTCAGCGTTGACAGGATTTGATGGCTGTGATTCACTGAATGTCATCATCTGTGAAGCGTGAACTGTTGTTAATGTTGCTGTAATGGATTCACCACTTGCTTAGCTTGTGGCTGGGAACCATAAGTCTAAAAGTAGCAAGCTTGCAATAAAAGTACAGTGTGTATGTACTTGTATTGATTTTTGTATTTAGGTTGCATATTTATGTGAAGCTCTGTTGGATTTAGAATTGTGTTTTTTAAAACAAAAAAACTTATAATGGACTAGCATTTTTGATGGAGGACGTTAGTTTTATCTCTAGCTAGATTTTATTCTAAATAGTGTGTTATGCCAATGCTATTTTAGCTGCTGAGAATTTTAGTTGATTTTAAAAATAATTTAGTCACTGGGTCAAAAGCTTTCTGTGATTTGGAAATCAACTAATTTTAAATCTCTAGGTAAAATCTGACTTGTGGCATTTTTGTCTATTTCTTATCCGTTTAACGTTTTTGTGCTTTCAAGAGCCAAACAATTTAGATACAGTGGATTCTGGTGTAGAACAAGTTTTTTTTTTTTACTAAATTATTCGTGCTGTTTATGTAGGTATTTATTTTGATTTCTATTTTTATTTCCTTTGGAAATAAGACCAAGGTGTTTACACATTCAGTCTTTAAATCCAGACCTTTGATAAGAAAGTTGCTTCAAGTATAATGGATTTAGACAACTGCTTGTTTACTTGATAAATTAGCCTTTTTTTTTTTTACAAATATTTGACTGTTTTGTATTTATTTTCATTATCCATGTTTTTTGCTGAAAAAAAAACTGGAATAATAACCAACCATCTAGAGGAAACTGTTGTGTATTTACCATTTCATACCATTTTCAATCATGTTATATCCCTGAAATCTTTCAGCACTTTGCAGTCAGTTAATATTCTGCAAAAGGGGCTAATTTTCCACCCAGAAGACTGCGTGGGATATTGCCTGCCAGCAGCACACACAGGCCTTAAAATGCAACTGCAGCTTGTGAGGTTTTCACAAAGGATGCGATGAATCATCATGTAAACAGTAGCCACTTTGATCATACAGTGGAAGCTGTGTCATACAAGGTGGCAATGAACAATACTTCAGCAGCAGCTCCAAAAGGTTTAGGCTTAGGTTTTCACAGTAAGTGGGTTTGATGTGCTGACCTGCCGTCAAAAATACTGATTGTGTCTTTGATTGAATCACAGTTGACTTCATCACAGTAGATACCAGTCATTCTGTAGTAAAGTGAGTCAATTTTGATAGAAGAATAAAAAAAAATCTCGTCACAAAAATGTATCTCAAGGGAAACCCAGCAATTAATCAGCGTGTGTGGAAATTATCAATCAAAATCCCCTGCTGGGGATGTTGCCTGAAAATTATAGCTCTAACAAGGTGGTTTACCCCTGCTGGCAGCTGTCACATGTCTCTCCTCACAGTGTTTATCACAGTAATACTTCCTGTTGTTCTTTTTGTATTTAACCTTCTGTTAATTTAATCCTGGCGGGGTTATCTGCATCTCTCTCCTTGTCAGTTGTTTGTCTCCTAATTTTATATCAGTCTCTTGTCAGGTAGCTAGCAGATGGGGTAGGGATTTGCACATGTAGGTTGGTCCTTATTAGCTGCTAGGATTAAAATTACTCAAGTACATCTGATCAGGATGTTATTGATCGTATATGCTTGTCTAACTACTTGAATAACCAGTCTCATCACGATTAAATGCAAAATTTGTCCACCAAATAAAAACAGTTTGAGCTTCAAATATAGTTTTGTCATTTACACAACAGAAGCTTGTGTTCAGTGACTGACAAGGCAGCAAGTTTAATTTTAGTATGACTTCTAAATCCATGCTGGCTAGGTATTAACACCTGCTCAATTTAATTATGTAGTGGGCGGCAATTTCCCAATGGTTTTTGAAGCCATATGGATGATAGTGTTAAGTCTTACTTCTTTATTATAAAGCGTTAGTTGACTTTGCTCTACAGTATATAAGGGACGTGTTAACCAGGTCAGTCAAGTCTGCAAACCATGGGAGGTAGGTAGGTCATACCTTTTCCAAATCGGGGGAAATTGTTTTTAATATTTGTGCTCTAATTAAATTTAATGCATTGCTTTCAGAACCGAGGGAAGCCCTCACTGTAAACGATTAAATTAGTGGAATGTTTTTATTTGCAAAGTATATGGTTTTATTTTTTTTATTGTTAGTTATCACAATTGTAATTTTGCGCTAAAAGCAGGTTTTATTTAAGCATTTGGGGGAGTATTTTTCTATGTATGAAGAGAGAATTTCATTTGTTTTATCTGATTATTTTTCTAGGATAAACTTCAGTATTGATAAAAAAATTCTGTCAACTGAAAATAGTTAGTTTTTGCAAATGTGACCTGGATGGTTTCCCCTTTTTTGACCCTTTGCCTTATTACATGATAGAATTACAACTCGTTTTTCAAGAAGGGCTTCGGATGCCATATTTTTCCAAAGCTAGATGACTCTTTTTTTTTTCTGCCTTTACACAGTATCCCTCCTTGTCTTTAAAATGCCCCTGGTGCGTATTTCCTTGCATCTTTCTTGGCAAGAAAAAAAAAATAAATACAAACTCTGATCTATGTCTCCTTTTGTATTAAGAAGATCAGACTCCAAAAAGATGTTCAAACATAATTGTTTAAAAAAATGTAGTAGTCATCCATATGTAATTTGTTAAAAGCAGGCCAACATATATAGTTCACCCACTGGTCATATTATTCAAACATTGACCAGCCCCTAGGCTACAGCTGTCCCAATTTTAGCCTTTTTTTATGCTCAAGTCATTGAGGGAATGGTCTAATCTTTTTTGACACCGCTGTCCTACTTATGGGTGTACCATTATAGAAAGCCTGCACCTTACAGCACTTTTGGGGTATCTCTGGAACAGAAGCTAATTTACCTAAAGGCTGAACTAGTTATGTTTTATCATTTTGAAAATAAATTGGTAAATGTAAATCCTGACTCATTACTTTTGTTGCTGTATTTAGGCAGGCAATTTTGGAACCTTTTGTGTGTTTTACCTTTAAGGATGTTTACAAGCTCGTCACCAAGTCAGTATTTTTTTTTAAAGACTTTACACAATTGCCATATTTTGCATGTTTGGTCAGTGAGT